GGGGGGGGGGGCGTCTGGCGGGGCTGCCCGTTTCCCTCCTTTCCAAAGACATCTCTGCTCTTTCCTCCTTCACACCTGCACACACCTAACAAGGAGGAAAGACTGCCTGGGAGGGGCCAGACTCACTTGCTGGGGGCGGGCAGGCCCATGTGCCCCACCCTTCCTGGTTGTGAGAATGGGGCAAGCGGGGCCCCTCCCCTTCCGTCAGGGTGGTGGGGGGCAGAAGGAGCTGTGGTCTTCCCTCCACTGTCACTCCTTCGCACCTGGGCACAGCTGATGGAGGGACACACGGCCAGGCCAGAGGAGGGCCAGGTCCCTGCCCAGGCCGCTTCCCATGGCCCGCTAGCACAGTGCCTGCCAATGGCAAACCGCATCAGGCGAGCACGAGGGAGGCCCTCCGTGCCACGAGAAAAGACGGGAAAGCTGTGACAGGGCCAGGCGGACCACGAGCGCCGGGAGGGAGGGTGTGTGAGGGGGCTGCAGCAGCAGCAGCCTGATGAGAAGATTTCATGCAGTGAGGTGAGGTGGACGCCGACCAGGGACATACACCTGTCGCAAAAGTCCCTGTCCGCACCTCAGATGTCCCCCCTGGACAAAATGTGTATGTTGCAGAAAAATGCTTAAAATCGAATATTACCCTGCCTGCAACATATCCTTCTCTTCCTGTTCCCCAGCAACTTTGCATGGGTCAGTGCCACACGGAGCATGATTGCACAAGGGCCACAGCGGCGGGGCCTGCTTTCCATAGCAGGTGGCAGTGGCAGGACACCCCTCCCTGTGCACCGGGAGGTGTGTGGATACTTTCAGGCAAGACACTCCGTTCTCCCCCTGCCAGGGCAGCCACTGAGTCCCCAAGATGCGCTCCGAGCCTTTGTATGCGCTGGCTGTTGCTGCGGACTGCTAAGGCTTGGCATGATCTTCCTACCCTCCACATGTGCGTGCATGGACAGACAGGCCGAACGGAGGCGGAGAAGACAGCGGAAGGCACTGCCTCGTGGGGCCAGTGAGCAGCGTGTCTGGGGCTGCCCTCCCATCTCCTCGCAGCGTCGGTGAGCGGAGTGGCGGCTCCTGGGTTGCTGTCGGCTGCGTGGGTGCTGGGCCTGGTCAGGGTGGGGAAACGGGCTGCCTGCCCAGGTGGCGATGCGATGCGATGCCTGCATGCACGGAGGGGGCTGTGGCTGCAGTGGGGAGACCGCGTCAGGGCAATCGGCAACCCAAGCAGCATAATTCCTTGAGCGGGCTTTGCTTCCCCAGTCTCTGTCATCTCCCTTGAGCCAAGAAGGCCCGATTGGCTTAGTTAAAAGGTAGGCGGTCTCATGGGAACACGGAGTTTTCCTCCCCCTCCTACTGTTCTTTGCCCTTCTGGGTGTTTGGCACTTACTGATGTTCAGACTTATCCTCAAACTGTTAAAAAAAACCCCAAACAGATCTTCCGTTGAATCAAATTATCATGAAACCTGTAACAGTTTCTCCACCTTTCCTATGCTGGAAGATAATTTCACAGGGATCTAGGCACACTGAAGCCAGTGCCTCCAGAAACATGGCAATACGAATAGTGACAGCAGACAGCCCTGCACAATTTCTCCACACAACTGCGTGTTCGCTGTGGCAGCAATTGGCTGCATGTTTAGATGGAAAAGCGCCTCTCAGTTCTCCACAGTCGCCCACTCGGCCGGTTGTGCCTTCACACATTTCTGTTTCCCACTAACCTTGAATATAGCTGACTACCCATCGAAGGCAACCATTAAAAAACCAGGCACCTCCTCCTCAATTCACAGCTGCAACAGTGGTGAAGAAGAAAAGGCAACTCGGCCCTGTCCTGCCCTTTTCTGCACCGACAATCAGAGGGCCGCTGATCCTGCTCTGCTTATCAGCATTTTAAGACTACTCCAAGCCGGTGGAATATGCCTCAATTATGTTACTTAAATGAATGCTGTAAGATCTACATGAACAACATCTATATGAATAACCCTTCAATTTGTCAGCTGTCCCTGCCAGAAACGCATAAATAGAGTTCAGTAATTAGATAGGTCTCTAGGATGCATAACTGGGGTCTTACTCTCCCAAAAATTTACTGATTTACAGGTGATTTTGCTGGAAAAACCCTGTAGCCCTCAGAATAAGGTGCCCCTCCTGAGGCTACAGGAACTTGGGAAAGGGACTCCAAAAGCCACCCCCCCCCCCAATTCTTATGCTGCCACTGCAGAAAGAAGCGTGGCACCTGCTTTAGGAGTTGCTCTGGGGAGGTCAGATGGGAGCAGGATGGTGGTGGGAAGAAGAGGCCATGACTCAAGGTGCCTTCGCAAGGGAAGGGTCTCCATCCGCTGCTGAGCTAAACAAGCTCAGGCATCCATCTCGTTGCATTTTCGGGGATCTTTTTATGGATCAGCAAGCAAAACCTTGTCTGATCTGTTGGTCTTCCCACCCTAGAAGCCTTGTGGCAAAGGCCCTGCCCATGCTCCCATCCGCCAGACCACAGTGGGATGTGGGGGGGGGGGGGGGGCTGAATGTGGAACGAGGCCCCCTGAAGATCTTAAGGGATGAGCAAAGAGCAGCAGGAAGAGGCGATGTGCTACTAGGTGGCGAAAGGCGCACTTTGCCCGGTCCCTTCCGTGTCTGCACAGCTATGCAGCGCACACCTGGAGCACAGCCCATAGGGGATCAGATGGCCCCATTCCTACACGCATGCCTTTGCCCTCATTTATGACTGGGGGTTTATGATCCACTGGTCCTAATGTAGTGGCCCAATTAAAGCTGCTTCTTCGGGAGATTATCATTTCATGAATATCTTTTGAATTCATAGGCCACAAAAAGGAAAGGCATGGCTGTAACGTGACTGCTGGCCAAGTTGTTTGCTTCTTTAGATTGCAAGCACTCACTGAAACATTAAAATCCGGGCATGGAATTTGCTATGCATGTTCGGAATGCAATTCAACTTCCAGGTATCGATCAATACCTGCTTTCCAATGCAGGAAAAGCGCAAAGGGTGACGTGGTGCGTGGTTTCTACTGAAAAGTGAGAGGATGGGGTGATGTTGGGTAGGAGAACATTCTGGATTCCAATGCAAGTCTCAGCTTGCCCAGAACATCTACAGCCACGGAGGCTGGGAAAGGCCGAAAGTACCGTGCAGTGTGCGATAACCCTTTGCCTTTGAGGACAGAAACCCCAACGGCAGCTTGTCAAGGCACACAGGACAAAGCCAGTGCTTGGCCTGTGCAGCCAGCGCTGCGGGGCAGTGGTTAAGAATGTGGCGCTGGGATTCGGGGGAGCATTCGGCCCCCGCTGGGCCACGGAGCTCCCCGAGCGGCTTCGTGCCAGCCACGCCCTCTGCCCACCCGATCCCAGAGGGTTGTTGCTGTGGGGGTAAGACTGAGAGAGGCAGGAGAGTTACGCGAGTGCAAGCTGCCCTGAGTCCCTTGGAAGGAAGGAAGGAAGGAAGGAAGGAAGGAAGGAAGGAAGGAAGGAAGGAAGGAAGGGGGGACAAAAGTTGCTTTCTCCAGGGGGAAGGGGAGGTGGGGGAGAGAGAAAGAATGCTTTTAAAAGCTCTACCAACTTCCTTTTTCATTTTTTCCACACTAATGCGAATAGATTTTAATTAAGGAGGAACTACTGATTTGGAAGCAGTGTACAAATTAATGGAATAATTTATTTTATTTGAAGTAATTTGGATCAGGAATTAATTGGCTGGCATAGTCTACTGTGAAGTTTAAATAAATCCTAGTAATTGTTTATAAATTTGTATATATAGAGATAAATGAGAATACACAAACAGGATGCAGATTTGCATCTTATGGAAGTGGGATCTGAATCTTTTGAGTACGGAGCTACCCCAGCTGGAGCTTGGACAATAACAAGAAGAGACTATTAAAAAGCCAGCCACAGGCAAGCACTCCCTGTCTACCTCCCCCCCCCACTCCCCACAATTTGTAAGCACTTTTCAGACATGAGCAGAGAAGGAGACAAGCAAGAGTTTGCTGTGGGGAGAAGCACATTCTTTCTGGATTAACCTATATGCAAGCAATGCAATGTACATAGTATAACACTCCATGACAAGCAAAATAACTACTAATTGTGAAAATAGTTTATAAATTTTATAGATTTAAATTTTTAAGAAGTGAAAAAGGATGTAATAGATTTTAATAAAGATTAAAATATTCTTTAAAAACCTGCAAAATTTTGAATGTATCTCTGGAGATGAACAGATCTTAAAATATTAAACATTTCAGTGTAAGATGGCAGTTCAGTCATGAACAGGGGTCTGATACAGCCCCACTTGAAAGGTGAGCGGAGTTGAACCAGGAGCAAGCCTCTCCCTGCCCTCGCGCCATCTCCTGGAGAGAGGCATCACCTTTTCGCCACAACGCTTCCCAGTTCTCTGAAGCACTGGGGGGAGGTTGCTCTGCTGCACGCCCCGATCCCAGCACTAGTGAGGCCAGCGGCACCTCTGGCAACAGCAGCAGCAACCGCGGCAAAGACGGAGAGACCTGATGGTTCCTGGCAGGACTCAGCTGGGGGTCTGTTGCAAAGGCACCAGACTGTCCCAGGGTCACCCGGCCTGACCCAAAGACAAGAGGAGCTGGCAGCGAGCACAGGGGAGAGGAGCCGCTGCAGAGTGAACTAGGGCGGTTGAACAAGAATGCCCCAATGCCGGGCTGGAGATGGAAGGGCTCGGCATCCAGAACAAGCGCTTCTGCCTGGACGTGAAGCACAGCTCAGTGGGCCGCTTCCTGCAAATCGCTGAGCACGCACTGAAGGTGCTGGGAGCCAGCTGTGACTCTCCATGGCAGCAGCCGTGGCTTCCCACAGCTGCTTGGGTGGCTTCATCACGCACTGCATGCAGCTGGAGCCAGCATTCCCTGGGAGGGGAGATGGAGCTGCCCCTGGTGGGCCACGATGGCCCTGAAGGGTGAATTCCTGGTGCACAGAAACTGCAGGGGCTTTCTGGACCTGAAGGAGAGGCAGCAAGGCGGCTTCCCGCACATCCGCTGGACCATCAAGCGTGGGCCAGGCAGAGGCGGTAGAGAGGACGGGCCGTCATGCTGCTGGCTCAGGGCTCGACTGGGTGCTGTAAGCCCCTGGCTAAGCTCGCCGTCTTCTACGGGACAAATGAGTATGACACAGGAGGCAGCAGCAGCACCAGAAAGGATAAGACCCAGGAACAAGTGGGTGCAAGCCATACAGGAGGTGTCCCGGGAGCAGAGGAGGGGGCTGTGGGGGTGATGAGCTTGGCTGTGGTGAGCCTGTGAACCAGGGAACCCGCAAAGAGGCTGGAGGCTCTCCACCGTGTTGTACCAAGTGCCATGTTTGACTGCTTGACATCTGGACATAAGCCATGTGTGAGTGTCTGAGGAATTAAGGCAGATGGTGGCAAACAAGGAAGTATCCAACCTTACTGATAATCTGAATGCCAGCAAATTACCTGGCCCACAATATCCATCCTAGGGCCCTTAAAGAACTCAAACATGAAATTGTTGACCTTAGCAAAATATTTACGATGTCCCTAAAACAGCCCTTGTACCAGAGGATGGAAGAATGGCCAATATAACATCAATTTTTTAAAAGGGATCCACGGGGGATTTGGGGAAGTTCAGGCCAGTCAGCTTAACATTTTCTCTAGGTAAACTGGAGAAAAGCATAATTGAAGATAGACTCAGTAAGCACACAGAGGGACAAGTCTTTTTCTGGCTGAGAAAAGGTCAGCACGGTTCCGGCAAGGGGAAGTCTTCTCTCACTAACCTTTCGGAATTTTTTGAGCGTCCGCAAGCACTGAGGCAGGGGCGATCCAGCAGACATTGTGCATGTGGACTTCTAAAAGGCTTTTGCCAAAGGCCCTGACCAAGGACTCCTGGGCAAAGCAGTCCCGGGATAGAGGAAGGGGGTCCTCTTATGGCTCACTAACTGGTTTAGGAACAGAAGACGGGGTGGGAATAAATGGCAAGTTCTCCCAAAAGAGAGATACAACCAATGCTTTTTAAGCATCTAGAATGAGGAGTAAGCAGTGAAGTGGCCGTCTGCTGACGGGACTCAGCATTTCATGGTGCACTGTCACACTGCTCTAACAGCCAGGATTTCCCCCTTGGTATCTAGCTAGAATCTGGTTTCCTGTAACTTGAGCCCATTATGCTGTGTCCTGCACTCTGGGATGATTGAGAAGAGATCCTGGCCTTCCTCTTTGTGACAGCCCTTCAAGTACTTGCAGGGTGCTATCCTGTCTCCCTTTCTTGAGGCGAAACATGCCCACTTCTTTCAGTCTCTCCTCACAGGGCTTAGTTTCCTGGATCATCCTTATTTGCCCTCCTCTGAACCCATTCCAACTTTTCTGCATCTTTCTTATACTGTGGTACTCAGAACTGGAGGCAGGACTCCAGATGAGGCCTAACCACTGCTGAATTAGTTCTTCATGGGATTTGGAAATGGGATTTCTATTAATGCAGCCTAAAGCAGTGTTTGCCCTTTCTGCAGCCACATCCCATTTTTGACTCAGATTCAGCGTGGGATCCACAACCATTCCAAGATCCCTCTCGCTTGCAGCACTGTTGAGCCAAAGATTCCCTATCTTCTAAGAATGCAGTTGGGTTCTTTTTCCCAGGTGCAGAACTCGGCATTTGTCCCTGTGGAATTCCGGTCCATTGCTTTCGGCCCAGCGCTCCAATCTGTCGTGTCCGCGCTGGATCTTCTTTCTGCCTTCCAGAGGATCGACCAACCCACCCAGTTCTTGTCATTTGCGGATGGGACGGTCGCTCCCTGCCTCGTCCCAGTCGTGAACGAAAGGCGAGGGGCGCCCGGCCCCGGACGGAGCCCCGCAGCGCCTCTCCGCAGTCTGGGAGCCCCCCGGCCGCGGCTCCGGGGCGCACCTGCAGCCCGCTCGCCGACGGGACGCCGCGGGGCCCCGGCACAGCGGCGCCGAGGCCGGCAAGGGCCCGCCCGCAGCGCCCCGCGAGCTTCCCCGGGCCGGCTCCCGCCGGCGCTCGGCC